CCCCTCGCCCCACCCCACCATAAATAAAAATATTATTAATAATACTTTCTTTTCATGTTATAGATAGATTTTTTTTTATTTCAACAAATGAGTATTTTCTTTTCATGATGTAGAAAAAGCATTTTCTTTTATTTCAATAAAATGATTACTTTATTTCATGTTGTAGAAAGAGTACTTTCTTTTTCAACCAAAAAAGAGTATTTTCTTTATAGTTATAGAGCATAAATTTCAATGTTATTTTGCGTAAAAAAAGTAAAGCAACACATTTATTTCTTTGAGTTTGTATGAATTATTAGAAGAATAACTAAATTGTTGAAGAAAATAGAGTTATGAAAATGTTGAGTATTTGGGGAGGTGGGGGAGTAAGGAAACATGGGGACTTGGGAAAAGGGGTGAGGATAGCATTAAAAAAGATTTTCCTAAAACATATTTTCTACTCTCTAACCAAATACTAGAAAATATTTTCCGAAAAAAGTTTTTTACTCACCAACCAAATAAGGAAAAATAAGTAATAAAACCACTCATTTTTCATGAAAACATTTTCTAGGAAAACATTTTCCATGAAAAATATCTTCCTTCGTACCAAACACACCCTAAACTTAATTCGAAACTTCATTCTAAATAATATAGTATAACTGATTATAGTACAATTAATTGTATGATATTTTTTTGCTTGTCAATATATAATTCATGTTAATTTATATATAATTTATAACCGTGTATAATCAAATGTATATCGGATAGGAAAAATATATAGTGAATCTGACCGGCTATTTGTGTAAGATTCCTAATTTAAATCGTTACTGGAATTTATGAAATTAAACTTCTAGGGAGAAAATGCAGTCTTTGTCCCGCTAGTTTCAACTTTTCGTCCCTTTGCTATTTGACCTTACCCCATTTAGTTCTTAGTTTTACTNTCGAGCTTGTTGACCCTAGCTTTTACATATGCTACATTTTTATAAGGCACAGGCCTTTCTATAAACCTTCACATGCCATGCCCATTGGAAAATAACATGCACTGATCATATAAGTGGAACACTAATTGAAACACTAATTAATGTCAGTTGGTTTCATCTTAATTCAGACCATATTTGATACTAATTGTTACCTAATTGACAATTGATCCTCATTTTTCATTAAATTTTTTGTTAGACTAGTGCCAATTTAGCAACACATCGAATAAGATTGATTCCTAAACATAACTCTTTAAAATAGATTGTGATCGGCAGTATCAAATGTAAATCTTCCATAAGTTGGCAACTAAAACACTAACTCTAGTAAAATCATATTTGAACCAAATACCTGAAGATCACATTCTAGTATAAAGAATCTTTTATACTATCAGTGAATCTTAATATGTAATAGTAGGTTAGTTATTATTTTTATTATTATTATAGAAATTCACTTGCAATTATCTTACAAAACTTTTAATTGTGTAAATATATTTTATATCATTAGTAATTTAAACTGTTTGAGCATTAATTCATAGCCTTTCAAACGTATTTCTACAACGTACCTAAACATTTGTGTCTCCAATTTCTGTTTTCTTTCGTAATCTAACATTATTATGTCCACTAGCTTAAAAAATCAAGAAGCCTAAAACACAGAAGTCGTAGGATTCTTTTTCCAGTAAGCATACAGAGAACGTGGGTACTTGGAATCTTTCCAACACTAATTAATGTCTTATGTTGACATACTTGAGACAAAATATATCAATTTTTCCACTATCTTTTTTCCCCCACTCCCTTCCACTTTCTTTTATTATTTTTTAATTCTCTATCAACTACTACTGCCATCAAGACATGATGCTGGTGAATCCAAATTATTGGTTAAAAAAAATAACAATAACAAACTCAGTGTAATTTTATAAGTAGGGTCTAAGAAAGATAGTATGTACGCAGACTTTAATTCTATCTTGAAAAGGTAGAGAGATTGTTTCCAAATTATTTGTACGAAGAAGAAAATCCTATATTCCTATATAAGAATGTTCAATGTATGCTCCCAGTAGACATATATGTTATCTTCTTCATTTTAGTTCGTTATATTAGTTGCTTTATCAATTCCTTGTGTTAATTTATAAATTGGACGAAAACCAAATCCAATTAAAGACGGGGTGCAGTCATATTAAATTTCGGTGTTAAAAATATTTTTTTCTTATACGAAAACATGATTTTATGCATGAATCAAGACTAACTCTGTTCTTTACAAAAGGTATGTCACATTTTTAATAATTTAAAATGCCGTCAACTTTTTAGAATTAAAATGTTAATTTAACTCCAGTGAGTTAATTTAATGGGTAAAGAATTAAATTGTTGACCAAAAAGGTCCACATTTGGCCAGAAAAGAAAAAAAAAACATTTGAAACAACTTTCTCAATCCTCTAACTAGTTAGTACAATTAAACGGGTCTAGCGGTTTTCTAAAGTGGGAAAAGGGATCATCAAAATATCCTTTTTTGCAAAAGATATATAATTATAGTTAGTATCTTCCGATGTGGATAACTTGGCCATCTATACAATTCCCAATTATTAGCAATATGTATCTTTTTTTCAACAATTATTGACAATATCAACTGACCACATTCATTGCTGTGTGGTTCTTGCTTCTACGTGCTTAGCAGTTTACAGGGAAACAATTATTCTTTTCTTAAAGTTGTTCCCTTATAATTGTATTTCCACACCACTCACAATGAGATGTGCAAAAACATGTATAAAGTTATGATACTACTAGTATCTTATATTTTACTCAATAAACACCAAATTAAGAGATATAATGTGCTAAGCTTTTCAAGGGCACCCATGCATAAAAGATACGGATCATATTGAGAATTGTGGTTTTAAGGGCTATACCAACATATCCAATAGTCCAAAAAGTAGTCAAGGTTTTGCTTTTTCTATCTTTTTGAACTTTAATTAATTAAACTTATACACCAACAGAATAAATACTTTTACACTATCAAATTATTTAAAAAATCATCGCTATGTAACTGTTTATAGTAAATGTAAATAGATAATCTAACAAAGGATTAAGCCGCCAGCGATGGCTAACTACTACCGGCCACGGCCGCCCTATGGTCAATCAGCTAAGGAAACATGTGTATAGAAATTTGCGAAATCAACCAATTAACCACATTAACAAGGATACTTACTTTACCCTAAAAAAAGCAAAAAGTCAGTATTATTTGATGACATAAAGCCTTAGATAGAGACAGTACAAGCTAAGGGGATGGAGTACTGGCCCTCCAAACATGTTTGTGCATTGAAATTAAAGCATTAATTGTTTAAATATATCCCTTTGAAAAGACTAGCTATTCCACAATAAAACTTTTTGTTTTTTAAATGATACAAAAAAGTAGTATAAGACATGACTTGTCTATAATATGGTGCATGCATGCAAGAAAAAGTTTTGTGCTGCATAAACACGCAATTTCGCTAATAAAAAGGCCAAAGAGTTGGCTCATTTCATTGTGCTTCTCCCCAATATTTTGCATCTTATTACTCTTAATATTGTGCTTATTCTTCTTCTTCTTCCTTAACTAAATATACAGCTCTTTTTTCTCCCTTTTGTCATATATGGAGAATTATACAGGATTTCAAAGAGTGAAACATGTAGGAGCTATGACTTTGGCTGCAGTGTTGCTAGGGGGAAACATTATATTGTCAAAAGTTGCAGCAGATGATGGTATGACTATGAGAGTTATGGTTGCTTATAGGTGGATCTTTGCCACTGCCTTTCTCGGTCCCATTGCTCTCGTAGTTGAATGGTAATTAATTTGTCAATCTTCTTGCTTTGATTCAATCAATATACCTATGAATTAATATAGAAATTAGACTTATCACAGGCCATCAAATGATAATGAAGGTAACCTTTAATTATTTAAAAGATGATATGAAACTGTAAAAATTTTACATTGTCAGCGTGTGTGAAGTTAACTTATGTTCTAGGTATAATACCAGACTGATACTGAAAAATCGTCATCATAATTTTTGTCATAATATAACTGGACATAAAGACAACTTATGAGAATTAATGGTATAACTATTTAGTATTTATGATCTCTTTGTTTCAAAAAGATTGGCACTATGTCTGTCTCAAAAAGACTGACACTTTCAATACTCCTTAATAGAAATCATTTTTAGTCACACAAATACTATGAAAGGTTTCAGATCACAAGTATTAGAATTTTTACAGTCATACAAATACTATGACTTATTTAAAACTATATATCTCAAAAGTCTTCCATCCTTCGTTAAAGTTTGTGTCAAATTGATAATCTTTTTGAAAGGAAGTAAGTATTTTTTGATGTTACTGATAGGGAAAGAAAAGTTTCAAGGAAGTAGATAGTTGTTAAAAGAAACCAAAAAAAAAAAAACAATCTTTTCCAAATAGTAAATGTTGTAAGTTGTGATACTTAACAATACTAATAGAACTTATGGGTAATGCACATCTACGTGACATTGAGAAAAGAATATTTGCCCCTAACATTTTGAGTTTCGCTTTTGACCCCGCAAAGTCTATCATATGAACTTTTAACTATTGCTCCACCACCTTATGTTTGTGTCTTTTTTATTCTTATTTTAAATTTTAAAATACTTATCTCCGTCTTTTGCTCTTCTGTTTTTTTTTTTTTTTTTTTTTTTTTTTTTTTTTTTTTTTTTTTTGCAGCT